GACCCCTGCGGAACTCCATGGCAGTTATGCCATGGAGTTCCGCAGGGGTCCATTTTGTCCCCCTTGCTATTCAACATCTACATGAAACCACTGGGAGAGGTCATCAGGAAGTGTGGGCTGCGGAGTCATCAGTACGCTGATGATACCCAGCTCTACCTCTCGTTCTCCACCAATCCAGGTGAGGCAGTGGCTGTGCTGAACCGGTGCCTGGCCGAGGTAATGGGCTGGATGAGGGCCAATAAACTGAAGCTCAATCCAGACAAGACGGAGGTCCTGTTGGTGGGTGGTTCGGGCTTCGGGGTGGGGGACTTGGGCCTTGTCCTAAATGGGGTTGCACTCCCTCTGAGGGACAGGGTTTGCAGCTTGGGAGTGCTCCTTGACCCAGAGCTGTCATTAGAAGCTCAAGTAACAGCGGTGGCGAGGAGCGCCTTCCTTCAGCTTTGGCTGATCCATCAGCTGTGCCCCTACCTGGAGAATGACTGCCTGGAGACAGTGACACATGCACTGGTAACTTCCCAATTAGACTTCTGTAACGTGCTCTACGTGGGGCTGCCCTTGAAGATGGTCCGGATACTTCAGTTCGTGCAGAATAGAGCTGCCAGGTTGCTGACGGGGACTGGGTGTTATTCTCATATAACCCCAGTTCTCCGTCAGCTTCACTGGCTCCCCGTTGAAGTCCGGGCCCAATTCAAGGTGTTGGTTATCACCTATAAAGCCCTCAGTGGCTTGGGACCTGGTTATCTAAAGGAGCGCTTGCGTCCATATCTACCCTCCCGCCCCCTGAGATCGGCAGAGGAGGCTCTTCTCCGGGAGCCCTCTGTGAAGGATATTAGGAGGGTGAGTACCCGCAGGAGGGCCTTCTCTGTGGTGGCGCCCCACCTATGGAATGCGCTCCCCAGAGAGGTCTGCCTGGCGCCGTTGTTATTTGTTTTTCGGCACCAGGCCAAGACCTTTTTATTTAAACGATATTTTAATTGTTAATTGTTGTTTTTATTTATTGGCTTTAAACTATTGCCGAGATGCTCCAAATTTTTAATGTTATTCTTAAGTTGCTTATCTTCTTTGTTAGCCGCCCCGAGGCTTTCTGCGATGGGGGCGGCATAAAAATGCTATAAATAACTAAATAAAGAGTGTGGGACTGGGACTCAGGCAGTCTGCGTCACAGTCCCCGCTTGGCCAGGGAGCCAACTGGGTGACTCTGCCAGCCACGTACGCTCCGACCAGCCTGCTTCACAGGTTTGTTTGTAGATAAGATTGAGAGCAGCGGCAGCAGAATGATGTAAGCCACCTTGAGTCGCTTGGAAGGAAAAAGTGGGACATACATCTAATAAATAAATATAATAATTTGTACAGAGTTGCCAAGCTGAGAACTGAAAAAAGTTCACCAAAAAGCGCGGGGGGGGGGGGCGATGGGATCTCCTCCTTTGCAATGTAAGCTTCTGGGTTCAAGTGCTGAACTGGCAGTACTCAACACATTCCACATTTCTGGCACTACTTCATATCTCCAGCAACTCCAGAAAGAGGAGATCCCCCTCCCCCCCACACACCTTACTGCTGCTCCCTTTAAGAACACTGGCTGCTGTGGTTACTGCAGCTCCCTGGTAAGGCTGAAAAACTGTGTGGGGCTTCTTTGAGGGCAGACTGCTGTACATTGCACTGGAGTGGACACCCAATTTGCTCCATTCCTTTCTGCCACCTCTAAGGGCTGTTACTCATTTTTCACAGAGTCTGGAAAATGTGCACATTGCTGATTGGGAAATACATGCAAATTTCACTGTGGGGAAGTAAATGGAGGGGAAATCTATGCTTACTGTTGCTCTGGAAGGCTGAATGCAGCTGTACAGCTACTTGATCATAAAGCACTTTATTATCAAGGTTTATTCATTAACTGTTTAAATCCCACTGATGCTATTACTTGAAATAACTGAGAAAGCAAGGTCTGGGACCTCACAGCACTAGAGTGAGTCTCCCTAATATGTAAGGAGACCAACACTTTCTCCCATTATAAGAAAGTATAAAATGCATTCCAGAAAAAATCTTGTCTGGGAACAATGCTCATAAACTGTCTCTCCTGCTGAAGAGTTAGTTATAAGAACTGCTTTGTTGGCAGCCTTAACTTCTAAAACAAGGCATTTTGTCTCATAATCAGTGCTGTTGACGCAGTGTTGCTGTCTGCAAATCTATTTGGTAGATTTGAAACTGTTCTGCCAATTGTGCTTCACTTTAGTTCCATGACTGTTTATCAATAATACATTATTCTAAATGTAATCCTCCAAATGAACTGTTTGTTAAGGTCAAGAGCTGGAATAATACTTTGACATGGATATCTGAAGTGAGGTGAGGTTGCCTATTCGCTTCTAGGTCATGTCACAGAACCTGACAAAGAAACCAATGTAAACATATTTACAAGTTCTCATGTTATTCTCATATGAATATTGTTAACACTAGTTTCCTTACTGGATCCAATGAAGCAGCCTTATAGGGAACGGACAATCCCCCTTTTCACCTAGAATGGTTCGTTGTTTCAGTGCTGTTTATACACTGGGATTCATCTTCGTGCAAAATGAATGCACGTATGGTGAGAGGCAGAGCCTGCGGTCTCCTGCTGCATGGAAGCCCAACTGCCTGAGCAGGGGGCTCTTGTGACAGCATCTAGCCCCCAAACCTGTTTTAAACCCAGGCACTAGTGCAGGAGAAGCAATAATGGATAAATATCCTGAGCATGCTCAAAATCTTTTCCCTCTTCAGTAAGCAGTCACAGCCTGCCTTCTTGCATCTAAAGAGAAGAGCTCCAGGGATGCAGAACCTGCTCCAAGGATGCAGATTCAAATAAGGTCTGAAGTACAGCATCTCTCTCTTTAGAAATGAGCCGGTATAATCCTGAATTAAGGTCGTAAGTTTGTTTTTTTAAAACTCAAAATAATAATATGGCCAAACACTTACTGCTTGGAACCTAATAGATCACTGTGAATTTCAATTAGAAAAGTGTACCTATCAGAGCTCCTTGACTTCAGAGGCATATTCCAGGGATGTGGCTGTCCTTAGCACCACTTATTTCTAGAGCCTTTATTGATTTGGCTTGTGCCCAACCTTTCCACCACAAACTGCACTCAAAGTGGCTTATAATCACTAATAAAATTTGATTAAAGGCAGTAATAAAACAAATACATTAAAGCAATTAAAAACAAAACACTAAAAGAGTAAAAACAGCAACCAACCCAATAAAACTGCTTACACATCAAAAGTCCACTTGAATAAAGCAGTCTCTGCCTGCGAGCAGAAGGAGCAAGCCCAGCTTCCCTGAGCAAGGAGTAGCTCAGGAGCAGCCTCCAAAAGGGCCCTGTCTTGGCTCACCCCCAAAGGACCTCTGCAGAGGGTGATCGTGAAAGACAGAAAGAAGGGCCTCTCCAGGAGAGCTTAAGACTGGGCAGGCTTATATGGGGCAAGGCAGTCTTTCAGGTAGCCAGGTCTCCAGGGCTATGTCATATGCAGCACTTCAGATTTTCTCTGGAAACAGAATGGTAGCCAGTGAAACTGCCGTAGCAAGGGAGGTAATATGCTCCCTGTATCCAGCACCAGTCAACAATCTCACCATATCATTTTGTACCAGCTGGAGCTTCTGAACCATTTCCGAAGGCAGCCTCACACAGGGCACATTACCAAAGTCCAACTGGGATTCAACTGAAGTATGCATAATTGTGCCCCAATCAGATATCCCAAGGAACAGACACAGTCGGTGCATCAGCCTAAGCTGTGCAAATGCACTCCTGCCCTACTGCTGGGTGCCCAGTTTTACAGCCAAATCCAGCAGTGCACCGAAAGAGCAACCTTGGGCCCTCTGGGGGAATGTAAGCACATCCGGCACAGGCTGATCGCAACTCCTTGATTTTATGCGGAATGCTCACCATTCATCATCGTTCAATTATGATTACATAGGCATAAAGATGGAGAAGTGCTGAGGGAAGCTGACTTCCTGGGAATAATGGCAGCTTGAGTGTGTGGAAACTTCACTGGACTACACAGGGGAAAGCCACACCACACTCTCAGTACTGGTCACCGCGACCCCTCAAGCCCCATTCAGGCATTCCCTAGCAGTAGACAGTCAACACATGAGGAGAGAGAACGCTGTGGCCTGTATGCATGCAGGCTTGCCATACAATCGGGAATGCTGATTTTCTGGCCTTCTTAATGGCAAGGACAGCCTCCATGAAAACAGGAGGCTCCCCTTTTCTGAGCACTGTCCCCTACAAGACAAGGGTGACAGAAATGCATGGGGTGGGCATGGATGGGGTGCTCCCTCTCTTCCTGCACTTTCTGCTGCTGAAAGGAGCTTTGGAATGGCTGTATTGTGGATAGCCACCAATCACTCAACAGGGAAGAAATTTGTTTGTTTGTTTGTTTGTTTATTTATTTATAACATTTTTATGCTGCCCCATCGCAAGAAAGTCTCGGGGCGGCTCACAATTTAATGTCTGGAACCCCTGAAATGGTACTCACCTTCATGGCTTTGAAAAGTCTCTCAGCAAAGTACTCTGCTGAACTCCTGATATTCTTCACTGCAAAGGAAGTAAAGAATGCAGATTAAGCCAAAGGCTCAAGGGTTCTGCTTATAGGCCAGTGAGATCTTAGCCCTAAAGCATTTCAAGACCACAATGCATGCAATGTGTGTTTGCACATATGTGCATTGGTTTAATTATTATTTATTTAAAACATTTGGATGTGGCTCACTGTGCCACAGCACCTCTAGGCAGCTTATAATCATTGCAAAAGGAAGAAAAATGCTTTTGAACACTAAGAAAAAGCAAACAGAGCAAAAATTAGTATTTTGTCTCTGATGCAAGTCTAATTTTTAAAGCGTTCACAATGCTCACATATATATTGTAGCTTAAAACATTTATACCCTTCCTCTCCTTGTGGCAGCTCAAAACATTATTCCAGTTTCCAATAGAAAGAAAGCAAATTGTTTAAGGAGGAAATTGATGCACCTGGGGAATATACTTTTAAATGTAATCCCAGAGTCAGCCGAGTGATGCTGACTTTGGGATTCACTTCAAGTCAGAAAGACAAGAACCAACTCACCCACAGCTAGCATTAGTTTTTCAAAGTCTCCAGAGAGCTCTTCCCGGATGCTTCTCTCAATGGGTTTGCCTGCAATCTTCAGATACTCATCAAAGACTGAAAAGCAAGCACAAGAGACTCAGAGCTTTTCTACATGAGGCATTTATTTGTTGTTAATGGTTGTTGTTACAGACTCTTAAACCAGTGGTTTTCAACCACCAGTCCGCAGACTGGTGCCAGTCCATGCCAAATTCCTGCCGATCCGTGAGGGGGCCACATTCTGTTCGCTACGGACTGGTGCAGGGGCTAGCTCTGCTCCATTACCTCTTCCTTGGTTGGCACCACGTTTGCAGCGGATGCACTGGTGCAAGGGAGGCAGGCAGGGCGGGGAGAGAAGGCTCGATGGGAGCCACACTGTGCCAATTTTGGTAATTTGTTCTTTTGTTGGCATTTTTTTGTCGCTCGGTTTCTGGTTGTTTTGGAGAATTTTCTTTTTTTTTTTTTTCGGTATTGTGTTTAGAAACGAATACACAGAATACTCTGTTATGTGTAAGGTGATTTTTGTTTCTGCCTCAGCTTTCCCCAAGGTGGTTTTCCTGTTTTTATCAGTCCCCAGCTGTGCAAAGGTTGAAAACCACTGCTTTAGACAATGTCACGATCCTTCAGTGTCCTTCCCAGTTTTTTCCAGAACACTTCCCAGCTGTTTTTTTTCCCCAGAATGGGGAAAATGTCACTGTTTCTCTTCATGTAATTGAATTATTCTGCCATGGCACAGCTCTATCTAGAAGTTATGTAGCTGAAAATCAGGGGGAAAAAAGCTTTGTGTGTAGTCTTCTGATCTCAAAAACCAAAAGTAGATTCGACAATTAATAACCTTAAATAGATACACATGCAGACAAACCTCTGGTTCCTTGCTATACCCAAGGCACTCTGTACCATTTTATTCAATGAATGCTTGCTACCGAGCTATTTTTATTAACACAATGTAAATTGAATGGAATATTTAACGTTTTTGCCATATTACATGGAATACAGGGAACACACAGATTGGGCCAAGTGTCCTTGATGTATATTTTTCAATTTATAATTCTGTTCACGATTAGTTTTAGAAAATGCAAGGCCTTTGAACTTGCGCATCTCTAGATTCATTGGGACTCTATTGTGCAGTGAAGTGAGGTGGGAAATTTCCCCATATGAAGAAATGTTTCACTTTTTTGTAGAATTCCCCTCCCACTTTTAAAAATTCTAAGAAAGCAATTCTCAAAATGACTAGGAAGCTAGGTATTCAGTTCCCAGTCAATTTAGGGTAGTGTAAAAATTACTAATTCGGTTTTTTTCTAGTTCTGTGAGGCAAAGTATACTCAATATATATTCCTTTTAAAGACACAAGCTAAATTTCAACAGTGAGAGAAAAGATCCTTATTGCAAACTCTTTCTTTGCATAAGTTATCTACAAGTGCCACCAACACTGATGACACTATAATCAGTTCGTCAATAATCCTACATTATATTCAACACCCCACTCTACTT